CCTGCGGCGCGGCCTCGCGCACCTGCGCGGACTTCAGGCCGGCGCCGCAGCCGCTGCCCTTGGGCGCCGCACCGGCGGGAGCGCGCGAGGCCTCGGGAGGATGGAGGAGCGCGGGAAGGGAGAAGAGAGAAGCGAGGAGGAGGAAGAGGAGGGAGGGGGAGCAGGAGGAGCAGGAGGAGGAGGAGGAGGAGAGGAGGAGGACGAGGAGGACGAGGAGGAGGAGGAGGAGGAGGAGGAGGAGGAGGAGGAGGCCCCATCCTCGGCGGCCGGCGCTGCCGCGCCGGCGACGGCGCGGCAGCCCGCGCCCTGCGCGACCTGGGCCACGAGCGAGTAGCGGGACTCGGGGAGCCTGGCGGCGGGCCGGCGGGCCCCGAGGTCTGGGCACTGCAGCCTTCTGCTGCCCCCCTCCCCCTCCTCCTCCTCCTCCTCCTCCTCCTCCTCCTCCTTCCTCCTCCTCCTCTCCTCCTCCTCCCCCTCCCCTCCTCCTCTTCCTCCTCCTCCTCCTCCTCCCTCCCCCATCCTCCTCCTCCTCCTCCTCCTCCTCCTCCGAGCCGCCGTCCCGGCCCGAGTGGTTTGTGGGAGCCGTGCCGGGCACGGCGAAGCCATTCGCGCGGGACAGCTGCGACACGCGCCCGCCCCCCCAGCGCGCCCAGCAGCCACGGCGCGCGGCAGGAGGGCCAGCCGTGAAGCAGGAGGTGTACCAGACTGGCACCGTCGAGCCAGGGCTGAATCGCCACAGCATCAGATCTACACGAGCAACAGCATAGCGGTATGACGTGGAGGACACAGCGCAACCATTCATCAGCGCGCTCGAGACAGCCATCAAGACGAATATCACAATGGCAAGGGCATATACAAGGACAACGCCGGTACTTGTGGGAGTGCCCGGCATGCAACCATCACAACAAGTGGGAGATCACAAAGTGCGAGAAGTGCCATCCGAATCAGCCAGCAGCCACGCCAGCTGCTGACCAACCTACATCCTCCCCCCCGTGGAGGCGCTCGAGCTCGCGACGCCCAGCGTACAGCAACAGCATGGAGGAGGACGAGACCAAGAATATCATGCCTTGCTCGCCAGAGGAGGCCCGCGCACACAGGCGCTGGCAGGAGCCACCTGAGAACCCTCAGGAGATAGGTGAGTACAGAAAGGCCCTGGGCTCTACATTGGAGGGCCTAGAATGTCAGATCAAATGTTCACAGGAGCTCAAGATGGATGCATCACAAGTACAAGGCTTACGACATGAGTACGCCGTAGTATTGTATCAGCTCATGTACTCTCGCATCTCGCACGGCCTCTGCCCGCACGGCCAAGCAGCTCAACTTTGTCAATCGAGCAAAGCGCAGGCTGACGGATGCCACACAGAAACAGGTAGAGGCGCAGATTTATCTCGACTCCTGTGTCGCACAAGTACATGCACTACATGAAGAAGTGGCACACGCTGAAGACCTTCTCGAACATTTCAAGGACCTGGAAGACGAGGAGAAGCAGAACAACGAGCGCAAGCAGGCAGAGGTGCGCACACATATGTCGCGCACTCGTAAGCCACGCGCAGCAGACTACATGGACGAAGATGAAGAGGAGGATTCCGACGGAGGCCCTCTCGCGCCAGCAGGAGAAGCCTCTCGGTCGCGTACGCAGTTGCCAGCTACCACGCGCTCGCCGAGCACACCAGCGGGCACACGATCACCAAGTACGCCTACCACACGAACTCCGCCTGGAGCCACACCGTGCTCGGGCTCAGCGGATTCGAAAGCGGAATTCTCCACCCCAGGGTTGCTAGCGAGTATGCAGCATTCGCAGCAGGCCCTCATGGCGCAACTCATAGAGTTCAAGACGGCCATGAACACCATACAGAAGCAGCTCACAGACGTCAGCGTCAACAGAAATAATACCAGAGAAGAACTTCAGCGACAAATTCAGGCATTACAAGCACAGGCATCATTGACATCTCCTACACCTACGCCAAGAAAGGATAAGGACAAGTCCAAGTCAACTACTCCCGACGTGCGCACAGAAGGACGTAGACGGCTGGAAAGTGCGTTCGCCCAAGGAGCCGAGGCAGAAAGACCCAGATCTACCTCGCCCAGGCGCTCCACGGGCCAAGCACCACCCAAGCAGGTCAAGATCAATGAAGAGACGGCCAAGGATTCCAAGCATATGCGACATGATGAACCGCATGAGATGGCGGCGGGAGAAGACGAGTCTTGGGGCCGCTGGGGCCGTGGACGAGCGGCAGCCCCGTGCTGATGCCCAGCACCTGGCAGAAGCCCAGCGCGGTGGTGCTATCACTCCAGCAGGGGCGTCCGCCTGCGAGGCAGCTAGGCGGGTTCCTATATAAGGAGACAAAGAAGAAGAACCATAATAATAATAATAACTATAATAATAATAATACTAATCATAACAATAATAATAATAATATCAACAATAATAATAAGTATTATTATTATTATTCTGATAACAAGTATTATAATAATAATAATATTATTATTGAGAAGAAGAAGAATAACAATAAGAATAATACGAAGAAGACGCAGAATAATAACAGTCACCATAAGCATAAACCTGTGGCGCTCCGCATGGATTTCTTGGATCTGCGCTGGACCCCCTCCCTGGCGCGCGGAGCGCGCCAGGGGCGGCGCCGGAGGCGCCGCCAGGGGGGCCCAGAGGCCGAAAACCGCGACAAGCCTGCGCCTTGAGTTTTTTTGCTCGTCGACGCGTTGGACCTCGGGGGATGGTGCTCGCCACCCCGCAGGAGTGCGCCTCGCTGCGGAGCTCGCCGCGGGTGCGCGCGGGCGCGCGCAGGCCGGGGGGGCCCACCTGCCAGGGGGGGGGCGCCCCACCCAGCGGCCAGGCCGAGGGGCCCAGTGGCGGGCCAGGCGCCCGTCGGCTCCGCGGAGAGCCGGCCCCGCGCACTCCGACTGGGCCGGGGCCGGGCTCACGGCGAGGTCGCTCAACGGTGCCTCCTCCCGCCTCCCTCCTCCCTCCTCCCGCCTCCTCCCCTCCTCCTCCTCCTCCTCCCTTTTCCTCCTCCCTCCTCCCTCCTCCCTCCTCGTCCTCGTCCTCGTCCTCGTCCTCCTTGTCCTCCTCTTCCTCCTCCTCCTCACTATCCTCCTCCTCATGTTGCTTATCAGTGGTGTGGGGGCCCAAAGTGTGGGAAAACGCGAACCACACTTTCCTACACTTCCAATCTGCGAGTGGATCGAGCGAAAACCACATAACGAATTGCAGGAATGCGCGAGCCATGCATTCCCACAATACCGAAACCTACATCGCCGTTAGCCCGTCCACGGCTTCAGCAAAACATGCCGCAGAACGGAACGGCCCTTGCCCAAGTCAGCCTGCGCTGAAAAGCACGACGCATTGGTATGATAAGCCATGGAATGGACACGAGGGAGACAGGGAATGGTCATCGAAGGCTTCGTGAGCGGGATCAGAGTGCGCGAAAGGGGTTAGTACAAGACAGCGAGACAGCCAACGCTTGGGTCATACGCAGAGCCAGTCACAGACACGATAGCGCAGAGTAATGCGGGGAGGAGGGGGGTAAATAAGGTAAAGGACCTGGCGCGAGCCGCGATGGACTGCACGATCCAGTCTGGCTTGACAAAGTACAGGGCACCTTGGGTGCTGATGTTTCGTACTGCTCTCTCTCTCTCTCTTCATCTTTCCCTTTCCCTCATGCACACGTGTTTTCTTCCTCTGTCTCTCTCTCTCTCTCTCTTTCTCTCCCTCTACGTTTGTGTAATATTGCTTTTGTTGTTCCTCTCTCTCTCTCTCTTTCCCGTCGACCTCTCCCCACCTCTCCCTCTTGTTTGCCTTTCTCTCTCTCTCAGTCTGTCTGTCCGTCTGTCTGTCCATCTGTCGGTCTGTCTGTCCGTCTGTCCGTCCATCTGTCGGTCTGTCTGTCCGTCTGTCTGTCTGTCTGTCTGTCTGTCTGTCTGTCTGTCCATCTGTCGGTCTGTCTGTCCGTCTGTCTGTCCATCTGTCGGTCTGTCTGTCCGTCTGTCTGTCTGTCTGTCTGTATGTCTGTCTGTGGGTATGTCTGTCTGTATGTCTGTCTGTCTCTCCCTCCCTCTCTTTCTCTCTCTCTCTCTCCCTCTAGCTCTCTATCTGTCTCTCGCTCCCTGTATACATATACTGCCTCGGCGCACACATTTCGCCACCGTGACTACTCGATAGCGGAGTTAATGGAATGCTAGAATGCGTGTTAGTCGTCTGGTAGGGTGTCCGCAGTTATCCGAGGGCCTCCCCCTCCGGCGAACACGCCTCTATTAGATCGTCCCTCCTCGGATTGTTTCCCAGCGCTCGTCTCGGCGTATGGACAGCTCCAAGACGGCCAAACACCACATCCAAACGGCTGCACCCGAGAACCCCTCGAGGCGGCCCAAGACAGCCCCCGGCAGGCTCTAAGGCGGCCCCACCGTCCGATCGACTGCACCTCTTCATGAGGAGAGCTCGGTAGAGCCTTCGTGCCCCAGACGGCCCCGAGACCCCCGACGAGCCCCCACTGGGCCCCCAAACAGGCCTCCAGCGGGCCCCGAAGAGGCCCCAAGCGAGCCCCGAAGACGCGTCCTGGATGCCTCCGAAAGGAAAGGGGATATGTGGAGACACGAACACAGACGAAGGAAACAGAGAGGAGGAGGAGGAGGAGGAGGAGGAGGAGGAGGAGGAGGAGGAGGAGGAGGAGGAGGAGGAGGAGGAGGAGGAGGAGGTGGAGGAGGAGGAGGAGGAGGAGGAGGAGGAGGAGGAGGAGGAGGGAGGAGGAGCTGGAGAAAGGGAGGAGGAGGAGGAGGAGGGAAGGGAGGAGGAGGAGGAGGGGGAGGAGGGGGAGGGGGAGGAGGAGGAGGAGCAGAACGAGGTCACGGAGAAGGGGAGGCAGCGGAAGGCCCGCACCCATTCAGACAGGGGCACTCGCCGGAGCGGGTCTCGAAGTCCACTGGCCCTCTCTATAGAAGCTGCTGCGCTGGCACGCCGGCGGGGCTCGCCGCAGGCAGTTCGATACCGATCTCCTCCTACGCCCACCTGCCTCCGTTGAAGTCCCAGCACCAGTCCATCACTACGTACCATCCACCGCTCTCTCTCTCTCACCCTCTCCCCCTGTATTCAAGTCTACCCCCCCTCCTGTGTTGTGCAGCCCCACCCGTCTTTCAATCCTGAGCCAAAGATGGGTCCAGCACAGCACAGCCTGAACTGGGCGGCGATCGAAAGCGCCGTCCAGCACAGCACCGCTCAGAACGAGACGACCCACAGTGAGCAAGGGAGCCTCCAGAGGCCACGGGGCCTCCCAGAGGCAAGGAAAAAGAACCCCGGACAACACGGAGGAGAAGGATACTCAAACAAGCCTCTTAGCTCCCACAAGGAGCTATCTGGGAATTACGGTAGAGCTTAGCCGCTTCGCTTATGGGGAAGCTCCACAAATCACTAGCTCCACCCCGCGCCGGAATTCCTCTAGCTCGACTGCGCCCGCGTGGACCATCCCCCATTCGGCGTCGTCCCTCCTCCACCACAGAAGAGGAGGGAGGGTTGAGGCAGAGGAGGGGGAGGAGGGGGAGCGAAAGAGAAAGATGAGGACGAGGTGGAGGAAAGACGAGGGCGGGAAGCAAGCTAAGTGCGTTCGCGACATGCGTGACATCCTACCTCTCCCTCCCATCCCTTCGCATTGCGCTGAAGTTTGCTGTATCCGCAGACGCGTGTCATGGCCGACCACACTTAGAAAAGGGGAGCTGCGCAAATAGCAGGAAGAGGAGGAGCTAGGAGGTGGCGGGAGAGCAGGAGAATGAGCAGGAGGAGTTGGGGAAGAATGAGGACGAGGACGAACAACAGCAGGAGCTGGAGTGGACGGAGTTAGAGGAGCAGGAGGACGAGCAGGGGAAGGCGGAGGAAGCGAAACGGGTGGGGTGAGAACGATGATGAAAAAAGACTCGGGCCCAGAAAACATGGCCCGCGATGGGGCGAGAGCGCCAGATTCAATGACAGGGGAACAGCGCCGATCCGAACATGTGGTCCACGCTGCAGTGGCAGCACCATTTTGAAACATCCGAAACAATCGGATTGCAAACAAATATGGGTCACACACAACTAATGGCACCCTGCGCTTTGTATATATATATATATATATATATATATATATATAAACGGAGAGGACCCAGCATCTCCCTCACAGGATCAGGGGAAAGAGGAGGGCAGTGTTCGTAGTGTGCGGATACGAAGGGAGGGGGAGGGGCAGCAGAATGGGAGGAAGGGAAGGAGGAGGAGGTGGAGGAGGAGGAGGAGGAAGAAGAGTGGGGGATCAGCAGGGCCGCGGAGGACGAGAGCGACGACAACGAAGAGGCCGAGGCCGCAGACGCGGGCGGCGACCACGACGAGGACGACGAGGGCGACGAGCGAGGCGGCGGCCAAACGCCCACGACGAGCGACGGGCAGCTGTCCGCCTGGGGCGCCGCGGCGAGGCAGAGCCCACTCCCCACCGCACGCGGGGATGGGGGGGGGAGGGATGGGGGGGGCGGGCTGGCGGCGTGCTCGGGCACCCCTGCGCGATGCGCCCTTCAGCGCCTCGTGCTCCTGGAGGCGGAGGAGGGGGGGGGGGGGGGGGGCGGAGGACGGCGGGGATGCGGAGGGGGGCGAGGAAGAGGCAACCAAGCGCCTCCCCGCGCCTCCCCGCTGGCAGCAGCGCACAGCTCGTGCACACACGCGAGGTCCTCAACAAACACACACACACATACATACACACACAAATCCACACACAAACACCCACCACCAACCCGCCCGCCCGCCCGCCCGCCCCGCCCGCCCGCCCGCCGCCCGCCCGCCCGCCCACCAACCCGCCCGCCCGCCCGCCCGCCCGCCCCGCCCGCCCGCCCGCCCCCGCCCCCGCCCGCCCGCCCGCCCACCACACACACACACTCACACACACACACCACACACACACACACACACACACACACACACACACGCGCACACACACACACGCGCGCGCGCGCACACACACACACACATACACACACACAACAGTTGCACATGCACACAGCTCGCCCACACAACACGGACCTGAAAGACGGAGACCGAGCGGCCTGCGCATTCAGACGAGAGTATTTTTTGTTTATCCAGGCGCGGCCAGGAGCGTGCGAGGAGCGGCGCAGGCTGACTCGGGCGAAAAACCGCGGAAAGGAAACAACGTTTCGGGAACATCCGCGCAAAAAACGAGAAGCGTCGGCACAAAGCATGGTCGGAGAGCTAGCCGCCGCTCTCGACGTGGTCGTCCTCCGCCCACAGCGCAGGCCGCCCTGCTTGGCATCGAGGGCGACCTCACCTAAAGGGCGAGGCCTCGGCCGGCCCTGGGACGCGGGCCGCAGAAGCGCCCCAGTGCGCTGGCCCATGCCCGCCCCGAGCCCGTCAAGACGGGGGCGGGCCTCAGCTGAGACACCGCCTCGGCAAGCCTGGGCCAGGAACTGGGCACAGTCCAGAGAGTAGGCGCGGCAACTGGTGCAGAACATGTGTTGGCCGACGCTCCATGCACGGTGGCCCCTCCCCGCCAGGGGAGCACGCCAAAGGCACGGAGGCGTCACGGGCTCGAGCGACGCGGAAGCAACGGGCACACCGAAAACCACGGGCGGCCGGGGCAAGGTCGCGTGAATACAGGGAAGGTTCCAGGTCAGCCGTCAGGCCTCGCATTCCGAAAATGTCCGTGACGGGGAGGGGCCATCTTGGGGCCCAGCGCTTGGAGGGTCCGCACCAAAAAATGGTCCATAAATGTCGCGAGCTGACAGGAAAGGACCACCAGAAGTTCGGCGACGTGGTCCAAAGGGGTGAAGCTTGGCGCCCTCGCGGGCCACGAAGTCCACAAATAATGATTCCCCCATCGCTCGAAAGCTCCGCGCTCGATCTCGCTGTTCACAGAGCTGCGCGGGTGCCCTCTGACCTTGCCCACAGCGACCCCCCCAAACGTCCTCCACCCGATCCCAGGCCCCAGAGGCCATCTCACCGAGACGCCGTCGTCGCTGGGCGACCACAATCGAAGCTCGAGGCAACCCAATCACAACCGAAGTGGACGCCAAAGGGGCCCACGGCAGCAGGGGTCGGGCAGATCATGAGGGCGAAGGCCTCGGTTATGTCGGAAGCCTGGTGGGGTCCTGGTCCTTGCCAGAGGCCGCACAGCGAGGCAGAGAGTAGAGCAAGAAACAACGCCACAAACATTACACGTTTGGCGCTCTGCGCAGATTTCTTGGATGTGAGGGGGGACCCCCTCCCTGGCGCGCGGAGCGCGCCAGGGGCGCCGCCCGGGGGGGGGCCCGGTGCGGATCCGAGACAACCCGAACGGAACGCCAAGAGTTTACGTTAATGGCGTCATTTTTTCTCCTTCTCGTCCTCTTCCTCCTCCTCCTCCTCCTCCTCCTCCTCTTCCTCCTCCTCCTCCTCTCTCTCTCCTCCTCCTCCTCTCCTCCTCCTCCTCCTCCTCCTCCTCCTCCTCCTCCCTCCTCCTCCCCCCTCCCCCCCTCCCCCTCCTTCCCTCCCCCTCCCCCTCCTCCCCTCCTCCTCCTCCTTCCTCTCCTCCTCCTCCTCTCTCCTCCTCCTCCTCCTCCTGCTCCTCCTCCTCCTCCTCCTCCTCCTCTCCTCCTCCCCTCTCCTCGAGAGAGGGTGCCACCCTTGGTGACCTGTGGCGACCAGCCTGCGCGACGGAGCCCGGGGCCCTCGTCGACCAAGAGCGGAGCAGGAGCCTGCCGAGACGGGGGGGGAGGCCCAGGGGCCCAGGCCGAGGGTCGGGCCCCAGGCGGGGCAGGCCTCCAGAGGGGCCCCCTCTCGGGGTGCTCGCGGGACCCCGCACGGAGAGAGGCAGGGAGGTCATACAGCAGGAGTAGGAAGAGGAGGAGGAGGAGGAGGAGGAGGAGGAGGAGGAGGAGGAGGAGGAGGAGGAGGAAGAGGAGGAGGAGGAGGGGGAGGGTAGGGGGAGGATTTTTTGCAGCAGCGCAAACAGCAGCCCACATGCTACCTCGAGGCAGGGCGAAGGCCTCGGGGCTGGAACAAACCGCACTCGTGCGCATTGGCAAGCCCACGCCAGCACCGCCCAAAGGTATCCTGGCCAGCACCGCGTCAGCAACGAGCACGATCAAATGATACTCGACCGCGATGCGCTCGCGCTCGCGGCCCCGAGCAAACGCTGGGCCACAGATGCCCTGCGCAGCTCGCTTGCATCCTCCACCTCCGAGGACGAGGGTGGGGGAGGCTTAAACGAGGGAGCGGGAACCTCCTCATCCTCCTCCCTGCACCAGGGCCCCACGGAGACGGTGACTCCGCTCCGCTTAGGGTGGGACCCTGCACAAATCAGCTTCCACGCGTATCGGCGGCCTTGGGCCACGACGGCGGGAAGAGGCGCACACTGCTGGCGCAGACCACGCACTTGGCCTCCGCCCGTGTAATTCGTACACCGCAAACATATGAAGACAAAACTACCATCGCTGGCATAGAGAGACTGACTGCATTATGTGCCCCAGGCTCTCGACAGCAGGAGCATCCATGCCACGAATCCCGACACCGGGTCCTCCCTTACAGAGGCCAGCGGTTGGCTGGTCAGTAGACCGCGAACCATGAAAACAACACGAGCACTGCCAGAACCTGCCCGTCCACGCCCAAGCACGTCTCGGACCCAGTCCTTCGCTCCGAGGAGCTGGTACAGGGATCCGCTCCACACTGGGGCCGAGATCCAGGCGAGGCCACAGTGGCATCAACTTCGCTGCAAGGGGCCCTACAGCTCTTGCCACAGCCAAAGAACGCTCTAAATCTTCCACCTGCTCCAGATCGGGCTGGGGATGCGACAAGATGGCCTTCTTGGCCGATAAATCGAATGCGTGGTTACCGTCGCGCAGGTCGCGCCCCCAGCTATCTTCGGCCCCGTCCACGTCGAGATGAGCCTTGACTTTGTGCACGGTGCACTGCTGGGAGAAGGCCCTGCAAAACTGTGCGACCCCAGCGTGAGCACTGCTCGGCCCATGGCAGACCGTGGAAGTCGACGCAGGCCTTGCAATCCACAAACAAATCGCACGGGCCCGTAGACCACTGCAGCGCAATAGCATAAGCGTGAAACTCGGCCACCTGAGAAGTCTGCGGGCCCGGCGGCCGCGCAGGCCCACGGACCCGCACAATCTCGAGACCTGTGTCACGTTGCCAGAGGGAGAAGGCCCAACCCGCTCTGTCCAACTCCGAATCAACACTCGTACTGCAAGAACCGTCCGTGAAAACGTCTCCAGAGAAAACATTGCCCAGGGTGGCAACGACACTCGGCTTATTGACCCATGCAATATCCATACCTCCCGACTGCAAGGGCCGCGGGAAACTCCCCGCTGGGTGCAGGAAGACGCCGAAGCACGCGAGGGTGGCATGAGCCTCCTCCGCCCATCTCCTCACCTTGACCTTAACCAAGTCCCCCCTCTCGGCCTGCGCAGCCGCGCACTGCCACAAACGATGCCTAAGTGTGTCTGCAGCGTCGAAGCACAGCGGGCACAGCACGGAGGAGAAGACATACCCGAAGTCGGCAGCACGCTGCTTGGTGTAAATGGCGTTACAAAACAAGGCCTTACACAGCCCTTCTGGAAGGGAGTGAGTCGAGAGCTCTGGAGCCAACGCAAAACTCCAGAACCACAAGCCCTTCCAGGCAAACCAAGTTTGGCCCCCAGGTCCCACTCCAAGATTCTGATCACGGCCTTCTTCAAAAGCGCCTTGAGGAGCTGAGGCGAAACTGAGGTCAGCACAATCTTATCACCTCGGTCTGTCGCAATCGCAGCAAAGGAATCCATGGACCAAGAAATTCACTCACGCGACTTCCTCAAAACTGAGACGGGGCCCGAAACGTTTTTCCAGAGGCACGAATCCCCACGGAAACCCGCCTCCCAAGCTTCTCTGAGCTCGGGCAGAGGATCAGCAAAAGAAAACAACGCATCGGATTATCGGCGCCACCGCCGCTAGCCAGCATGGCTCCTGGTAAGCCAGCAGTAAACACGTGAGTGAACGGCCCTTGGCCGAAGGTTGAAGCACGGACGCCGCCTGCCTACGGAAATTCAACAGCTCAACTGCCTGCGGGCAAGCCTGCCGCAAAAGGCCCTCGATTCCATACCCCTGGACCTGGCTTTGCTGGGCGTCCCTCGACGTCGGCGTGGCTTGCCGGCAGCATCGCCCGCGCCTAAGTTGGCTGCGCTAGGCGCAAGCGGGCCAGCCAAGCCCCCGAGGCGCGCGCCGAGCGTCTGCCCCAGCAGCTTAGAGGAAACAATGAGGGACCGTTCAGCAGGATCATCCGATACAATCGCGTCCACCTCCCCCGAAAGAATCCTGTGCAGGGATCTCACCGCAGGAGGGGGGTGGGCGAGAATGTGCTCCGTCGACCCCGTGGCAGACAGTCCAGAATCGTCAACGCACAGCTTGAAATGCACCTGGCGCGGCAGCACCAGACGGTCCAGAGAGCCGATGGCATATACTCGAATGAGAGTCGTGGCGACACCGCAGCCCGCGATGATGCCCCTCGCGGCCCAGAAGGGCCCATCCGTGAACCCCGCCAATCTGAACCATCTGCTCAG